AGCGCGATATCCTGGGCGCTTAAGCTCCCATTGGGACGTTTTAGCGCGCAGAGACAGAAGCATCTCCTCCTTCAGTGGCTAAGGGCGCTCAAGCGCGAACCAGGGTGCTCCAGCGCGCAACCCTGGGCGCTTAAGCCCCATTCTGGGCGCTAAAACCAGCGGAGACAGTAAGCCTCCCATCTTTCTGCAGCGAAGGGCGCTTAAGCGCAAACTAGGGCGCTCAATCGCGCAATCCTGGGCGCTTAAGCCCCTACTTTGGGCGCTCCAGCGCGAGAAGACAGAGAGCATTGGCTCTCACAGGGGCAGCAGGGCGCTAAAGCGCGCTCCAGGGCGCTACAGCGCGCTGCCAGGGAATTACAATACCCTCATTTTTCAAGTCCAAGTCTAGGGGAAGATGCATCCCCATTCCAAACCCCAATTGTTCATGCCTCAAAACTTAATCCTAGCACTTATCCAACCTCTCCTCATAAGATTTAGCTAGAATTTGGGCAGCATAACCTTTGTTTTCTCAATTTACACAAAAGGTACCTAATTGATTCTCAGCCTAACCAATTCAATAACTCAATACATAAAAAGCATGCATATATTGAATTTCAAGTAGGCATCATTTACAGTACATATTCATTACAAATCATGGAACTTAGCTTACAAAACACTATGATCATTCCCTTGGCTCCCATCAACAAAAGAGATGACCAAAGGCATGAGCATAGGCTAAGTCCATTCCAATATACCAATCATAAATCTATCATTGCCTATAATTACAATTCTATACATGTGAGCTACAAAACAACATGTATAATCTCAAAAAATGCAACACTTCATGCATGTGCTAATCCAGATATGGCCACTTGCCACCAGAGGCTCCTGCAGCATCCTTACCTGAAAGGGGGTCCCCATAACACGGGGTGAGATATACGAATATATCCTGTAAACCAGGGGTCCTTGGAGCATCTCTCCACCCCACAGTTCCATATCAGTGTAATAGCAATAACAATAATAATGCAGTAAATACATATCTATGCAAAGTGCAATAACATCTCCAGGAGAAATCCCTCGAGCTCTCAAGCTGTCCTAAGGAAACTCAGATGCAAATAGTCCTACTGGCCAGCTAACTACCAAGTATGATTTACGCATCGTCATGCAACATACCAACATAGGGAAACACCATCCTATGCCACACCAAATGCATACACATACGTATAACAAAGCATTACACTATTTTATTGCATTTATATACACAATCACAACCTCTACCCTTTCAGGGCTTGGTGGAACAGTCAAGGGAATTACACCCAAGGTCCGAAGGCTTACCTCAATGCTTCAGTCGACCTTTGTTCTTCACCAACAGTTTCAGCAGCCAATTACAATAATCACTCTTTTCAAATAAAACCTACACAAGGTTTAATGCAATTAACACATATTGCATCCAATAACATCTCATAGCTATCAACCAAACTATCCAATTCATACCAAACCTAAGCATGAATTTACCTATTCCAATGAGCTAATCAAGCTCCATAGCTTGCACCAACGGTTGGTCACTCAATGTTGGTCCAATTGCCTCAATCCTAGACAACACCAAGGCATAATCAACAACCAACCATCTATCACCAATGCAAGAAAACTCATAACCAAGTGCCATATTCTTGCAATTTTCCAAATATACTCATTTAACTATCTAAGCTCATTTTCACCGATTAAATGTCATTCCTAGCATTTTTCATAACATGCACTAAGTCTCATTCTTCCTAGAACATAGCTAATTCAACTACATTTCATCAAAATCCCAATTTACTATTCATAAACCCTAACTTATGCAATTTCAAGGAATTATGAGGTTCAAGGGGTAGAATCTTACCACCAATGGTTGCCCAACCAAGCAAGGAGCGTTCCTCAAGCTCCCATGGAGGTAGAAATTCCCAAAATCCCAAAATCTCACAAAGGGCCGAATATTTGAGAGGCAATATCTCTCTCCACAATGCTCCCCACTCAAAACTAAGCTTAGATTATGAAAGAGGGAAAGATTTAGAGTGGTTTAGTCTTTTGAATCACTCTAATCGGTGGAGGATTGCTCTTCCTCCCTTCCTTCTCCTTCCCTCTTCTCTTTCTTTTCCTTTCTTCCCTTCCTTCTCTCTGGCTGTCGACGGGAATGGGTGGGAAATGGGTTCTCTTTTTTTGTGTCTTAGTCACTTAACATAGGTTAAGTGACTTTAAGCGGGTATTGGTTCGTCTATCTATCTATTCAACTCCATTAATTACCAAACTTTACCCAAAAGTCTGGAATATTATTCTAGGAATATTTATATTTATATTTTTATATTTTGGGCACTTTCGCCAGTACCCATTTATACCCCTTAATTTTCACTGAGTACACTTTTTAACTTCAAAGTGACTCAGATTCATTTAATTAAGCCTTATACTTAATTTTACTCACTAAAACATGCTTAATTATTTAATTACATGTAATTCGCTAATTAATTAGGTTAGGGCTATTATACTTATATATAATTTTATTTATAAATAATAAAAATTTATACCCTTAAATAATTATATCTATTTTGAGTATATGAATTTATTAAATATTTTGGGGTTTTGTTTTTATCCATGGATAATTTTTGTTGGATCAAACACTTACCACTAAGTCAAAAGTTATCAAGAATACAACTCTTTCTGTTTAGAGGTGAACAACAAGGGTGTTGGTAGTTGTATGTACGGAGCAAGTGAAAGAGATGACTGGCAATGATGGGTCCAGAACCTCTAGCCAAAGTCAATCGGAATAATCGATGGTAAACAACAAAGGGATGTGTGTGTGAATTCTGAGAATAGTGAGAGCTCTAAGACTAAAATGAGTTATGAAGGTGATAAGTCTGAAGTGTCTTCCCTAGGGGGGTACTATTCATGTATTTATATTGGCCTTGGAAAGCAATTATAGAGATGGTCATGCCCCAATAGTGGTTTTCCCATATGAGATCGTGGGTGTCAGAGAATAGAGGGAAGATTGTGGGTGCAAATCCATGATCTGAGTTGATAGGCTTAAGCCCAAGTTGAATAAGTCTATCGTGGATGCAGGCCCACTGGCTTAAGCCCTAACTCGAGAGGGCTTCCCCAGGTGGGAAGTCTGTCTTGGGCTTAAGCCCAATAAAAGGATCCAGAATCATATTCGCAACACTTTCTATTTATCCTTATTAGCCCAAGCATCATAGTTTGATTTGAGTCTGATTCCACATTGAAACTTGCCAAACCAAGATATTAACTTAACCATTTATTTTGATATTTTACTTATAATTTTTTATTTTTTATTAGGGAAAAATGTTTCTGCAGTTAATGCAGATAAATTATCTGCATTTTTTCAAAACGACGTCGTTTTGGCATTGAAATCTTAAAAAATTATAAATATAAAGACTATTATAACTCTGAAATAAATTAAAATTACAAAAACACCATGATTTTCGCCCTAAAACGATGTCGTATTTGACGTACTGCAGATAACTTATCTGCAGTAACTGCAGAAATAGGAAACCCTTTTTATTAATTATATTTTTGACATTTTACATAATAAGGGCATTTTTGATAATTTGACGGTTAAATGATACGAGGGATATAAGTCATAAATGATGTAATTACATGGATGTAAGTGAAGTTTTTCCTATTAAAATTTAAAGGGATAAGATATTATCCCTACCTTTTTTGTGTCTACTTTACATACCATTCTCCAACATCGTTATATCATAATCTCAAAAGTAGAGAGAAGTGATAAAGGTTGGTTGAGATTATGATCTAATGATGTCGGAGAGTGGTAGATAAGTACGTATGAAAATGAAAAGTAGGTAGATATTTTCAAAAAAAAAAAGGTAGAATAACGTATCTCAATTTAAAAATATAAATATTACTTCAAAAAAAAAAAAAATTATAAAGTTAAAACACTAAAGGTTTTTAAAAAATATTAATATAATTTTCGGAAATTAACTAGTTAAAAGCAATATTTCAAACATTAATTTATATTAAAATATTTAATGTTGATAAATTAATAATTAAAGACAAAAAAATAAAGTATTATGCACAAGAAAAACATAATTTCTTTAGGTTTACAATTTTTTATAAAAAATTTAATTAATCTAATTCCAACACTACCAGTATATAAGGTGGCTTTCCTAACAATAATTTATTATATTCCCGATATTTGTATATAAAATTTTTGTTCATAATATCAACCCTATGTTTCATAACAATACATTTATGAATGTAATTCTTTCGTTATATGAAACGATTTCAAACAATTTTTGTGTTAATAAATCACTAATTTCAAAAGCTCAAAAGCAATTTAAGGTTTCAATGTATCGATTGAAAATAATTTGAGAAATTTTCTAAACTTTCATGTAATAAAACCCAGAAATTCAGATTAATTTTCTTGAAATATTGAATAAAAACATGCATATGATATATGGTAGAAAACTCACATCAAGTAGAACAAAAATTCCAAGGTTTACAAGATCAATTGCAAAATTTTCCAAACTAAAATTTATCATGAATTTAATTTATTGAGGAAATTATATTATGTTTTACTTTTTTTTATTAATATCATTGCATTTCTTTGTTATTTTTTATTGACTCTTGTAATTTTAAATATTTGTTAAAAATTAATATGGTTTTCTATACAAAAAAAAATTCACATGATTTTTTAAAATCTTATAAATCCATATTGTCCTATCAAATCTTATAAATTCTTTCAAAATCTAATCTTATGAAATCTTGATCGTAAAAAAGTCTTTAAAATTCCTCCAATTCTAAATAATCTTTTAAAATTTATAAAAAAATTTATTTCAAAAAATCTTTTAAAATCTTAACGCAGTACACCGTGAGTTTCTAACCGTACGAAAAATTTAATACATCTCAGGGCCACCACTTACCAGTTATTGAGTGGTCTCTTTTTCATAAACAAAAAATTTTCTTCTATTTCTATCTTCTTTTTTTATCCCCCCCGCCCTCCTCTCTTTTTTTTTTTTTCTTCTTCTTCTATTTTGGAGAAGAAAGCCACCAAAAAACTTCTCCTCACCGTAATGCATTTGGATGGAAAAACAAAAAAAAAACATCCACAATAAGTATACAAGGAAGTGATTATAAGCGAAATTATTAGGGATTTTTTATCCAAACCTATAGTTGAAGGGACATCGATTACATTTGCTCGTTCAGTTTTCGCTAAAACCGTTGTCTAACATGGAAGTGACGACTATTCTTCATCTTCCATTGCAACCTTCATTCTCCGTTGATTTCTCTGTAAAGTTCTCTTGCTTAACCTCAAACTCCACACCTCTTTTCAAGTGTTATGCTCATTCAACTCCATCGCTGTTAGGTAACTTTCTGGATGCTGTGAATAATGTGTAAAACTTGAAGTAAATGGGATTCTTGGTTTTGTGTTGCAGCTTTTTTATTCATTCATTTATTTATTTTACCAAGTGAAATAAACTGTATTAAGTTCTGCGTGTTTTTCTTATTTGATATTTTTTTTTCATGTTTAAACTGTTACACTTCTATTCATCCAGGAGGAAATGCAGAGAATTGTGTTTTTGTTTAATTATTTTCAAGATTAAATGGAAAATTCTGTTTTGCTTTGTGTAAGTGTTGAATTAGGTCTTGCTTAATTAGGTTTTTATTAAATTTTAAATGTTTAATCTTTGAAGTTCTCTTCTTTTGCAGCTGTTTTATGTTAAGAACCTTGGGATACACCACCCCAAAAACTAGCTCAAGAGGTGGGAGTGCTCAAGGCCTTATAAAGGCCATATTAGTTGCCCATCCAATCAATGTGGGACTATATATCTCAACACGCCCCCTCACGCAAGAGCCCTTTAGGCTAGAAGCGTGGAAATTGCACAGGCCCATTTTTGGTTTACCTTTTTGTGCTTTTTTTTTTATTTATTTTAATTCCACTTTTTAAAGCGGGGGACAGTGAGGCTCTGATACCATATTAAGAACCTTAAGGTCAAAAACGCCACAAGAGAAAGTGGGGGGCGGCGAGGCTCTGATACCATGTTAAGAACCTTGGGATACACCACCCCAAAAGCTAGCTCAAGGGGTGGAAGTGCCCAAGGCCTTATAAAGGTCATATTAGTTGCCCATCCAATCAATGTGAGACTATATATCTCAACATTTTACTTCACCAAGTCAAATAAACTTTGTTGGGTTAATGGGCCCTCGTTATTTTCTTATTGATTTTGTTCTTCTTTTCTTCTTAGCATTGTGAAGGGATACAATGTTATTTCCTATGTCATCTTCTATGTTCCAAACGGTTCATTTTAGTCCTTTTTTCCTATATTTATTTATTTCTTCCCTTTTATTTGTTTTCCTTTTCCGTCAATCTTTTCGTGTATTTTATCTGAGTTCATGGACAGCCAATCCCAAAATCCCAACTAATTTGGGATAAAGATGATGATGATGTTCTTATTTTTCTTTCTTTTTGTTTTTCATGTCTTAATTGTTACACTTGTATTTTTCCAGGACAAATTGCAGGGAATTGTGCTGAGGCTGCAAAGAATGAGAATGTAATTTCCCTTACTCAGCATGGTTTGTTAATGAGCTCTTACTTTTACTTACTTTCCAATGTTTGGCTAAAGGGAATGATTGGAGTGCTCCTATTTGTGTGTTTGTATGAAGTTGAGCCTAGAATCTTGGTCTCCATTATTGCATGTTGTTAGAGTGTAATATAAGTATTTCATTTTTTCCATGTTATCTATATCTAGTTAAATGACATTAATGCATCTGGTATGCATTTACTTATGGATTCTATGGAAGGGTTGGAGCTCAGCTAATAACAAATAGACATGGTTCAAATTGTATACCATGAGAAGTGAGGTGAGTAATATCAGTTCATCGAATGTTTGATTTTCACAAGTACTCTCTAGCTTCTGGTATTTTATAATTACATTTTCTTTTTTACATTATCTTTTAGCTGATCTCCAACTATCATGTGCTCTTTCCTTGAATAGTCTCAGGCTCTCAGCCATAAATATCAGACTAATTATGATTACATATGTGTTGACTAGATCAGAGAGTAAATGAAGTGCTTGAAAACTAGAACAGAAAGCTGGTAGTATCTTAGTCATCTGCTTTACCCAAACTCCAGTAAGCAAGAACCAGGATAAGGTTGGAGAAAAGCAATTTTATTTAAACGGGACCATATCAACTTGAGTTCATCGCAATGATCATATATGTTGACTGTTCAACTTGAATTAGGAATTCAATCCTTCTATAAAATATCTATTTACATTTTCATTTTATCAAAAACCTATCCAACCATTTACTCATTAGGTGCAATTTCAAGTGAACTTTATCACTTGATACATGTGAGAAAATAATTTCCAAAATGGTGTAGTATGAAGAGTGCAAATAATAAGTTCTAATAATATATGATTTATGTGCAAGTGTTTTTTTTTTTTATATAATATTTTTATTGAAATTTGGCCATGACTTAGTAGGAGTTTAATTCTTTTATATTATTGAAGTTGTGAGCAATCATGACTTTGGGTTTTAATTTATTTATAGTATTTTTTATTTTATTGGAGCGGTGGTAAGTTTGCTTTTTTGTGACTGAAAGGTCACGGATTCAAGTCTTAGAAATAGTCTCTTTGCAAAAATGTAAAGGTAAGGCTGCGTATAATCGAACCTTAACCCTTTCCACGCAAAGTCTTAGAGTCTTGTGCGCTAGGTTTTACCCTTTATTTTATATTTTATTTAAGTCATTGATTAGACCACGACTTAGGATATGCATTTTTTATATTGTTTTAGCAAGTCACAACTTATGGCTTATTTTATATGATAATATAAAAATCTTGAGTAGAAGCGGCTTTCTTGCCACCGACCCCATCTATTTTGGGATAAAGGTGGTGTTGATATTGATGAGAAGCGGCTTTCTTGCATACTAACATGAAGGTTGGTAGATGGATCTCATCTACCACACACAACACTTTGTGCAGGTTGAATTAATGACTTTTACAGAAGAATGTAGTTTGGAGGGGTAAAATAGTCTCCCAGTGTGTGAAAAAAAAATTAAAATTAAAATTATGTGAGGGTGCATATTCTAGTGGTGTAGTTAGAACATTACTTTCATTATTTGTATTGTTAGTAATCAGAATGCTATAAAAATGAAGTAAATAATGAAAAATGCTCTTACCACACCATTAGAATACGGACCCTCACAAGGTTTTTTTTTATGAATTTTTTTGAGAACACAATTTATGGCTACTTTATCCGTGCAAACTACAATCTTAACCACTTACTTAGTATGCAAATCATTAACTCTGCCTTCACAGATATGTTATGTACCCTAGGCAACATCTACATATCAGTCTTCTAGTTTGTACTTGAACAAGTTGCTCCTACTCAACATTTTATTGTGCTTGATAGTTGATAATATAAAATGTCGTGGCCTAGTACATATACATAAAAAATACATATCCTAAGTCATGGCCTAAACTAAGACTTCAATAAAATAATTTAAAAAATTAAAGCTTACATAAAGTCATGTCCCTTGGCCATAACTTCAATAAAACAATTACAAAAACTAAAACTTGCACTAAATTGTATGCCATGAGAATGACTAGTTCTTTGCACTGTTTATCCTATACCTTTTTGACAATTAATTTCTGACATGCACCAAAGTGGTAAAATCAACTTGAAAATGCACCTGACAAGTAAAAAAGTTTAGTTATTATCTAGGACCAAATGGTTAGATGTGGAAATAAAATTGAATGACAGGCCTCAATTCTTTTGATTTCTAATCTTTTTTTATTTGTTCCACATATCATAGTGGCAAAAGTTTGATCAGTTGATCTAGTTGAATCTCTTATGCAAGATACCATGCTGTAGAATATGTAGAATATTCTAGATAGTATTTATTGATGTAGTTGGTAGTTGTATATTTAGTTGGTAGTTGTATATTTATTGATGTAGTTGGTGGTTGTATATTTATTAAAGTAGTTGAGGTAGTTGGATGTACTCAATATAAAAAGGACCCATTGGGTCTCTCAATGAATCAAGAAAGTATTATTCAGATAAAACACTTCTTCCACTTCTTCTTTTCTTCATGGTATCAGAGCTGGTTATATTCCAGTCTCTTCCCCGTTCTGATTTATTTTTAAGTCATTTTCCTATTCCTTTTTTTTTCGTTTTAGCCACTGCCCAAGCCAGAATCCTCACCTAGACACCTCCAACCACGAAACCAAGGCCACCATTAGGTTCAGAACAAGATTCTGAGCCAGCCCACAGAAGACCCGTAGCAGTACTGTTCATTACTGCAGCAGTACTATTCATTACTGTAGCAGTACTGTTCATTACTGTAGCAGTACTGTTCATTACTGTAGCAATTATTGTTTCACTGTAGCCAAGATTGCTCTCATTCATTGATTTTTGCGAGCAACCCTCTTCCTGTTTTGAGGGTCAAAATCGTATTTGGAGGAACTTTTTTCTGGGTACCTGTTGTTAGAAAACCATGGACGTTGAAAATTTTGAAAATTCGTCTTTTCAGAAATTGATGTCTCAACCTGCTGAGGCAACTAGTCATGTTGCTCAAAAAGGTATGGCATTCCATGTTGAACGTAGTAATCGTTGGATCCTTGATTCAGGGGCCTCTGATCACATGACAGGTAATGCAACCTTATTTTTCTCCTATACCCCTTACTATCACCCGTCACGAATAAGAACAGCTGATGGGAATTTCTCCACTATTGCGGGAAAGGGATCCATTAAACTTTCTGAGCATATTATTTTGAACTCAGTACTCCATGTTCCCTCTCTTACTTGTAATCTCATCTCTATTAGCAAACTTACTGCTGAGTTGCATTGTGTTGCAAAGTTCTCTGCAAATGCTTGTATCTTTCAAGAACAGGACTCGGGGATGATGATACCATGTAAAGTGGGGGACAGTGAGGCCCAATTTTTGTATCTCTGCAAAGTTCTCTGCCCAATTTTTGGTTTACCTTTTTGTGCTTTTTATTTTAATTCCACTTTAAAGTGGGGGACAGTGAGGCTCTGATACCATGTAAAAAACCTTGGGATACACCACCCCAAAAGCTAGCTCAAAGGGTGGGAGTGCAAGGCCTTATAAAGGCCATATTAGTTGTCCATCCAATCAATGTGGGACTATATATCTCAACCCACAGCCTTTTATTATTTTTGCAAACAAATTTTCTATCTAAATGAAAAATTGTGGTGAATATTTGGTGCAGGGTCCCTTTAGAAATAATATATTTTAATGAAAGCTATAAGAGTGGAGAAAAAGGCTGTTTTGAGAAGAAAAGTTTCTTGTGAAAGAGGAGATAATTTTATTCTCTTTCTGGAACTTTCTTTGGCAGGCTCTCTTGTAATTTTTTTTCTATATTTAATATTTATTTTTTTTTGTAAATACTATATTTAATATTTAGTTGTGTACTGTTTCTGGAAATTTCTTTTGATAAAAAGGATGTCTTCTTTGAAACCCTTCATTGGAATCATTTTATTGATATAGAGTGGAATCTGATTTTGTGATAACTGAATGTGAGGTTTTACAAGTTCAATGACTGATTTTATTTATATGAATTGCTGTCCTTATTTTAGCTTAATATGTTCCTTGGGGGAAGATATGTTGAGCCCATTTTGGTAGTTTCTGACTTCCTGTACACTTATTTGTTGAATGGATTGAGCGTTTGAGTCTCAATTGGTGATGAATCCCACTTTTCTTTGCAGGCCTCTGGAAAATTACTTCATTTGACTAGGTGGGATGCACAGCAGGCTGCTTTGCCAGCTGGTAATGTTATTCTACCTAAGGTATTAATTTGTAATGATTTATGTATAAAAAAGAAAAAGAAAAATCCTATTCTGACATTTTAGTGTATGCTATCACTTTTAGTATATTTAATGGATCCTTTCTTGAAGAACATAGAAAGTAATCTTATAGTTTGAACTAAGAGACAGGCTGCTCTAGCATGCCAAACATACTTTTGCCAGGCTTTTGTATACCTTTTGTAAGTTATGATTTTGTTCTTGATTTAATGTCCTCATTCCTGCATAGTTCTGTCTTTTTTGATGCAAACAGGCAAAAGGAGAGAGGTCAACTAATTTCTTGGAATTCATTGACCAATGTACAAACATAATGCAGCTAAAGCAAATACATGCTCACATGCTCCGCACATCCCCCTTTTGTGACCCATATATTGCCAGCAAATTACTGACAGCCTATGCTCTCACATCATTCTCGTGCCTCAGATATGCTCAAAATGTGTTTGATCAAATCCTGCAGCCAAATCTATATTGTTGGAACATCCTTATTCGTGCTTATGCCTCCAGCTCAGAACCAACGCATAGTTTCTTGATCTTTTTGCATATGCTATATTCCTGTTCAGAGTTTCCAAACAAATTCACTTTCCCTTTTCTCTTCAAGGCAGCCTCACAGCTCAAAACTTTGCATCTTGGAAGTGTTTTACATGGAATGGTTATTAAGGCATCCTTGGCTTCAGACTTGTTCATACTTAATTCACTAATACATTTCTATGGTTCAAGTGGGGCTTCGGATTTGGCCCATAGAGTTTTCACCAACATTCCAGGAAAAGACATTGTTTCTTGGAATGCTATGATAAATGCCTTTGCACAAGGGGGCTTGCCAGAGAAGGCATTGCTTTTGTTTGAGGAAATGGTGATGAAAGATGTGAAACCAAATGTTATCACCATGATTGGTGTTCTTTCAGCTTGTGGCAAAAAGTTAGATTTGGAATTTGGAAGGTGGATCTGTTCATATATTGAAAGGAATGAGATTCCTGTGGACTTGACTTTGAATAATGCAATGCTTGACATGTATGTCAAATGTGGGAGCATTCATGATGCAAAAAATTTGTTTAATAGTATGCCAGAGAAAGATATTGTCTCTTGGACAACAATGCTTGATGGTCATGCCAAATCAGGAAATTTTGATGAGGCTCACCTTATCTTTGATGCAATGCCTCATAAAGAGGCCGCTGCTTGGAATGCCCTGATTTCTGCATATGAACAGAATGATAAACCTAGGGAGGCTTTGTCTCTCTTCCATGAAATGCAGCTCAGTAAAAATGCAAAACCAGATGAAGTTACTCTTGTTTGTGCGTTGTGTGCTTGTGCCCAGTTGGGGGCAATAGATTTTGGTAGTTGGATTCATGCATACATAAAGAAGCATGATATTAATCTAAACTGTCATGTAACAACCTCTCTCATTGACATGTACGCTAAATGTGGAGATCTAGAGAAGGCAAAGGAGTTATTTTGCTCAGTAGAAAGGAAAGATGTGTATGTTTGGAGTGCCATGATTGCTGCCCTGGCAATGTATGGTCAAGGGATAGCGGCCTTCGATTTGTTCTCAAGCATGTTAGAAGCTAATATCAAGCCAAATGTTGTGACATTTACCAACATATTATGCGCTTGTAGCCACACAGGACTGGTCAATGAGGGAAAGCATCTTTTCGAACAAATGGAACCATTATATGGCATTGTGCCTCAAATACATCACTATGCTTGCATGGTTGACATATTTGGCCGTGCAGGTCTTCTGGAAAAAGCTGCATCATTTATAGAGGAGATGCCAATACCACCAACTGCCTCTGTGTGGGGAGCTCTGCTTGGGGCATGTAGCCTTCATGGCAATGTTGAGCTTGCTGAACATGCTTGTCATAATCTGCTTGAGTTGGAACCGCAGAATCATGGAGCTTTTGTCCTTTTATCTAACATATATGCTAAAGCAGGGAAGTGGGAGAAAGTTTCCAATCTAAGGAAGCTTATGAGAGATTCTAGTATAAAGAAAGAACCCGGGTGTTGCTCAATCGGGGTTAATGGTGTTGTTTATGAGTTTCTGGTGGGTGATAACTCCCACCCTTTTTCTCAAAAGATATACACCGAGCTGGATGAGATTTTAGAAAAATTGAAGTCCATTGGTTACAAGCCAGACGTGTCTGAAATCTTGCAACTTGTTGAAGAAGATAACTTAATGGAACGGTCCTTGAAACTTCATAGCGAAAAGTTGGCAATAGCTTTTGGTCTTATTAGCACTGCTTCGTCTCAACCAATTCGGATAGTGAAGAATCTTCGTATTTGTGGGGACTGTCATACAGTTGCTAAACTCGTTTCTCAACTTTATGATAGAGAGATATTATTGAGGGATCGCTATCGCTTCCATCATTTTAGAGGAGGGAAATGCTCATGCATGGATGATTGGTGAATGCTGCAATAATTTGTAATGTTTAGATGGGTGAGAATGGAGGAAAAGGGTGGGGAAGAAGACACTTTCATTTCCCAACCGGGATAATTTTATTGGTTCTGGGGTCCTGGGAAGAAAGCTCAATAGATCAACTAGTAAGTTTGAACTAATGTTGCTTATGCTCTTTATCTCTTTTTAAGTTACAACTTGAAGTTGATGGTTGAAGATGTGAGAAATCACTGGTTCTGTGCGGAACAACTGCTAAGGTGGTCTAGACTCAGGTGAAGGGTAAATTATGTTCTATCTCCTTTTTATTAAGGATATTCCTGATGTGGCTATTGGAATGAATGCATTTAGAAGTCAAACATGCAGCAAACGACTAAAATGTGATTGGTTTAACATGAGGAAAACCTAGGGCAAATGGATTCAAATACTAGTTTTGACTGTTTCAGAGCACTCTTTAGAGCCCCATCTACTTCTTCTGTCATCTGATGAATAAGACAATATGTATTTAAGCTAGCCATGGTTATACATTTTAGTATTTTCGTCTTTTTCTTGTTGGCCCCCCCACCTTAGCTTTCGGTTTCTAATCCGAATTGTCATTGCCATCCAATTGAATAGCATTCCAGTTGTCAATGGCTTCTTGTGCATTTTGTATCGTGCTAGAGCCTAGGGCTGCGAGATTCTTGATCCTTGTGTCGATGATTTGCTCTGCACCCTTAGCTGTTTTTTTTTTTTTTTAAAGTAAAAAAGAGAAAATGCATGTTATTTTATGATGTAAGTGTCAGTTATGGTGTTCTTTCTTTGCCTAGAAGAAGAAAAAATAACTGAAAATCATATACTGATGTTTAGGGTGTAGCCAACTTGTAAGCTTTTAAGATGACCCAAGAAAACGTTTGCGTATCTTGAATTTAAAAAGTTAGACTGTTATTGGAATGAAGATTGGTTGTATACTATATGTCCTTCAATAATTTGTAATAGTCATAAAAGTAATGAATTCTATTTTCTGATTCATGTTGAAGTGGCAAAAAATTTGAATCAACAAACACTAATAAGTCTAGGCCTAGCGGCCTTCCCTTGCTTAAAAAAAAATTGTATCGTAAAGGTATTTCATCTCAGTTAATACACTCTTTTATTTGTAATATTAACATTGTTTTTCTCAACTAATCATTGATATCTGAGCAACTTATATACTCGAAATCAGTATGCTCCCCAAACGTAATCACACCTACTACACGTCAAGTTTTATTGATTGTAAAATATAAACCAGATCAAATGTCTCCTTCAAAACCAGTTACCGCACAAAGAACGCAAATAGAGTCATATAAACGTAAAGGAAAAGCAAATAGCCAATCATAATTGGTAGGAACTGTACATTTACCTGCTGTGCTGGTTTCTTTTATTATTATTATTATTTTTTTTTTTTTAGTAAACCTCTTTTATATCCTTCTTAGATACTATTTTCATATTTTACTCATTCAAAAGATGTTGTTTATATTAATTTTGTTCATTAATAATTCAAAATGTCATTAATTCAATCCTTCAATTATATTTTTAGTCTTATACAGAATAATTTTAAATATTATTTTTCACAATCTATTTTTTTAAAACAAATCAGCCGGTATTTCAGTTGCCAATGGATTCCGACTAATCTAAATTTGAGTTGGGTAGCACCACAAGGATAATGAAGTTTTTTCTACCAAATTTTAACATGTAGTTAAATATCTTTGTATATTCTATTTTAAATAACGACACAGTGTTATTTTTTTACAAAATGAACAATTGAACATTGCAAAAATATAAGTTAACCTATATATCCTTACAGTTTCACTGACTTTTACATAAATAAATAGTTTAACAAATTATAATTGGATACTTCTACTTACATTTTTAAATAAGTCTTTACTGAAACTTGAGATTTCCTTTAACATTTATAAGAAATGTTTTTGAGTCAGCTTAGGCATTTATTTAAGTTATTTTTTTTTGCTATTATACGATCGTTCTTGATAATTGTTTCAGTGATTTATCGTACAATACATGTTTTTGAGAAGGAACAATTGGACAAATTAGAATCCAAACTTAACATTAACATTAACATTTACATTGATGTTCGTTGGTTACTGATCAGATTTGTAAATATGTAGAATTTACAGAATACATTTCTTTTAATCAAATTCGAATTAACTTTCCTCCTGGGTACGGTAACCTAGACATTATACTCATAATTATTACTTTGAGCACCAACACCTTGCAGTGAGGGGGCGTTTGATAGAGAAGAAATTTTTTTTAATAAGGTAAATATAAGTAGTGGAAAAATGCTTGTAAACTAAAATTAGCGGGGAAATTTAAAAAAAATTATTTGGTAGACCAAAATATTACCAGAAAAATTGATTTAAATTTTTGAATTCTATGTTTGGTTGAAGGTAAAATATAGATGGAAAAATGGATTGAAATTACAAAATTAACCTTTTTTATTTTTTGAATCGGATCGATCTTGTCGAAAATACAGTTTGTAAAAGCCAGCTTAATTGCTTGGTTCCTTTCAGTGTCTTCAATCCAATTATCACATGGCTATTACTTTTACCATAACCACCTGTTACGCTCTCGGTTTCTTCTGGAGAGAGCTCAGTTACCTTACACAAGAAAAGCAACACATCAGGATTTGATATGAACAATAATATGTAGAGAGCAAAGTAAACAACAATCTCATCCCAATTTTAACTTGTGAATTACAACGAACTCACCTCTCCTTCATATGCTTGTCCCACAAAACCAGCAGCAAAAGGCAATGCTCTTCCACAGTATGACTTCTGAGGAAAGAGAGTCGAAAGGCAAACGGTAGATGAGGGGCAATTTCCCCAGCAAACCCAAAATACGACCCTCAAAATGGTTTTCTGAAACAGTGCAAAACAAGAAATTTTGCAAAGAAATCAAGTTGGCCGGGCAAAGGATTTTGCTACCCAAATTTTTTCATCTCTTGTACCAAACGTAGTTAAATTGAAAATCCATTTCAAGTTGCCTAGGTATCTTTGCCAAAAACTTCTACCAAACACCCCCTAAGGATAAAGGACAAAGCTCTTATCTTATCCCTCCTAATAGTTTCACTTCCATCAGGATTCTACACCTATAACTAACCCATTTATAAAAGGGGATAAAACCATCAGGTACACACTTTTTTTTCTACCTCTTTACCTAGGCAAAAAAATTAAGTTAATGTTTTTTAATAAATTAATTACGTATTTATTACAATTTTAGAAATAATTATACATTTATTGCATAATATGACGCCTAATTTGGACGTCACTAAACACGCCTAAATTGGGCGTCACTCAAGAGGCAATTACGCCTAATTTAGGCGTCGCTCATCAGGTGTTGACACGTGTCGTACTTTTTTTTTTCAAAAAAAAAAAATTTAATCATAAAACTTCTGAATGCCATAACTTTTGACTCGGGTATCTAAATCAGGTAATTCTTTTTTTGATTCCACATAACTTTTCGAGATCTACGCAATTACATCTCATTTGATATATTTTATTTCTCACAAACACAATTTAAATTTGCAAGAATGGTATTATAAGAGCGGTTAAACCCAGAAGCCTCCGAGTTCTGGATTTGTGATTTAATATAAAAAAATAAATAAATTTTTGATTTGTGATTTAAATTTTTTTATAATACTTTTTTTTATTATAACAAAATTTGGTTTGTGATTTAAATTAAAAATAAAAATAAAAATTATTATTAATAAGGAAAACAAAATAAAGATTTGATTTGTGATTTAAACTAAAAAATCAATTTGAAAAATTTATAGAAATAAAGAAAATAATTAAATAAATATTCTCAATCTCTAAGGAAGAAGGATATTATTTTTGAAATTAATGATTATTGCTATAAGCTTCTAGGTTATTATTTGTGGTCTGGAATTATGGCTTATGAATGTTTTCAAAACTAAAATTACCTAAATTAGGCGTGATTGCCTCTTGATTGAAACCCAATTTAGACGTCATTGGTGACGTGTCAAGTGTTGACATGTGTCACATTTTTAAACTCAGAAGCCTCTGAGTTCTTGGTTTGTGATTTAATATAAAAAATAAATCAAGATTTGATGTGTGATTTAAATTAAAAAAATAATTATTATTATTAATAAGGAAAACAAAATAAAGATTTTATTTGTTATTTAAACTAAAAAATCAATTTGAAAAATCTATAGAAATAAAGGAAATAATTAAATAAATACTCTAAATCTCTAGGAAGAATGATATTATTTTTGAAATTAATGATTAATGTTATAAGCTACTAGGTTATTATTTGTGGTCTGAAATTAATTATGGCTTATGAATGTTTTTCAAAAATAAAATTACCTAAATTAGGCGTGATTAGCTTTTGATTGAAACCGACGTCATTGGTGACGTGTCAGGTGTTGACACGTGTCACATTAAGTTCTGGATTTGTGATTTAATATAAAAAATAAATCAAGATTTGATGTGTGATTTAAATTAAAAAAATAAAAATTATTATTAATGAGGAAAAAAAAATAAAGATTTAATTTGTGATTTAAACTCAAAAATCAATTTGAAAAAACTGTATTAATAAAGAAAATAATTAAATAAATATTCTAAATCTGTAAGGAAGAAGGATTACTTGATTTAAATTTAAATTATGTTTGTGAGAAATAAAATATATCAAATGAGTTGTCATTGCGCGTAGATCTCGAAATGTTATGTGGAATCAAAAAAAGAATTACCTGATTTGGATACCTGAGTCAAAAATTATGGCCTTCAGAAGTTTTATGATTAAATTATTATTTTTTTGGAAAAAAATATGACATGTGTCAACACATGATGAGTGACGCCTAAATTAGACATGATTGCCTCTTGAGTAACGCCCAATTTAGGCGTCTTCAGTGACACCCAAATTGAACGTCATATTGTACAATAATTGTGTAATTATTTCTAAAACTGTAATAAATACGTAATTAATTTATTAAAAAGCAATAAATTATTTTTTTTTCCTCTTTAACTGTCATTGAATACATATCGTATGCTCTGGCTATGTCTGTTATCGTTCATGGACAATGATATGCTACGGCTATGTCGTTATCGTTCATGCACAATGATATGCTACTCCTTGTGATGTCTCTTACATAAATTCTTACAAACATACTGATCCAAGATACAAATATCAACCTTTGGTTGGATATTTTCGATCCTCTCGGATCAATCATTGCGCTATTTGTGGGGAACAATAAAATTTGATTCTCATTCCGTGATTGGTATAAGTGCAGCGTGGTGAACAACCAGAAATGAAAGATGAAGGGGGAATTGATATGTATACAAAGGAAATGATACGGTGGAGTGGTGGAGCTAGAGACCACTTTTGAAATGTTAGAAACTCTTTTGAGTTGCTATTATGCGGGAAGGTGAGGATGTGATCTGGTTAGTAAAGAAATATGGGTGAAAAACCCAAACTACCCATTTGAAATAAAATGAAGAATAGAACTCATGGGATGGGATGTTATAGGGAATTAGCTAGGTATTATTCTATTTTTATTATTATTTTAATTTAACAAAAAAATTATTTTAGTTTATTTTAAAGAGATAAAATTTTAGGTGTTACATTTTTTACCGTTTGATTTGTGGACAAGTGGATAATGTTTGTTGCCACGATCACCACCACAATTGTTTTGTCACCTGACTCACCTCTTAATTAACCCATTGGTAGGAGAGTTTTTTTGGTATCAGAGTAGTGACAATATCTTTTTCAAAACGGAATAAAAAATTAGGATATAGAAGAAAATAAAAAAAATATAAATTCAAATGAGATAAAAAAATTTATTTAGAAAAGAATGTACTGAGTTGGATATTACATGATTACCAAAAAAAAAAAAATCCCATTGGTAAACTGTCCTTCCTGTTTCCCTTTTGTAGACATGTGGATTACTTATGCTTTTTTTTCTTCTCCGTGGTAATTTAGGCTTTGTTTGATTCTGTTCTGATTTTTTTGTTCTTAAAATTGTTTTGTAAAATAGTTATGGAAAGAGTTATTTTCTATATTTATTTATTTTTGAAAGTTAAAAATCAAAACAGAAAACAAAAACAACTCAGACATGTTCTCTAAATTTGATTTTAAAAACAAAAAAACAGTTATAGTTTTCAAAACATTTTTTACAAAACAGGTCTTACCAAACGAGTTTTTTAGTTTTTTTGTTTTGAAAACTAAAAAATTATTTTGTAGAACAGTATTCAAACAGAGTCTTAGTCACAACAAAATATTTTATGATTCTAAAGCCCCTTCCCCCAATTAGAAATTATTTTAAAATTATTCTTTCAACTTATTAAAGTCTTATAACTATGTCATTATTCATGTTTTAAATAATACATTCTCTGTCTACCAAAAAACAAAATCTCATTTTCATTGATAAAATATCTTTGGTTGTTTTCAATTTTTTGGGGTGTTACAGATTTAATCTATTAATATTCGTTAATTCATTTTTCTACTTAGTTATATTTTTTATTTATAATTTGAAACATTTTTAATTACTTCACAAATTCCATTTAGATTAATTGTAGATATATATATATATATATATATATATTATTTATATATAAGATTTTAAATATTCTTCTTAAATATATTTTATATATTTAAATTTAAAAATACTCGTACAATACATGAAATATTTGTTAGACTTATTACGGTTGGCAATTGGATCGACACGACATGACAAGAATTTAACACGAATATGACATAAGTTTAAAATTAGGTTAAAACTTTCGATATGAACATGACCTTCTTATTTTGCAAGTTGACATGACACGATACAAATAACCTGTCAACCTCAAATTGTATTATTTATTATGGTGATTGACACGACACGATAAGACAAAAATAACCTATAAGAAGATTATCACAAGTCAATTTTAAATTTGCAAGTAGACACACAACATGATACAAATTTTCTCGAGTATTTTTTGCTAACACAAACTTGATACAAAATTGAAAACAAGTCAACTCAGACACATTTTTGGTGTATATCAATAGGTTATGTTAAAAATTGCCACCCATGAATCTATCAATTTATGACAAAGCCAAGTTTATTGTGACAAAGTCAAGTTTATTGTGTTAAAAAGTGTTACCAATGAATATATCAATATATCAACGACTCTAATTTTATAAGCATGTGATATGATTGATCTTTTTTTATCTTACGACCAGGGGCGGACCTACATGGGGGGCTAGGGTGGGCCCCCGCCCCCCTCTAAAATATGAAAATATGTTCTACTATATGATATGCAACATAGTCTGTGAAGACAAAATTTTGAAAGTGCTTTTAAAAAGTAAAAGACAAGCGATGCTATTCATAAAAAAAGTGTTTCACCCGTTCATTGCACCCAATTAGAGATAACTATTATTTACCAGATTCAACCTGTCAGCATATATGGCAGGTTTTGTTCTTGGTCTGCTACCCTCTCCAATCAATGTGGAAAGCTGACTTTTTCGTTGTACACAAAGAAGAGTTCAGTTAGTAATGTATATATTCACTCTACCTATCAAATTTGTTTAGAATTTTATTTTATATTGATTGATTATCTAATTTTCTTTTTTTTTTTTTTTGATAACAATCTAATTTTCTTTTTATAATCATTAAAAATTTGTACAGATTGTTATGTCAGAACTCACGAGAAGAATATTTAAGTTTTGACTTTGTTGGCAAAGAAAAAAGGTCACTAATAGTTATCAATTATTAGTTGGGACCAAATGCTAAAGATAAATAACACATTAATTAATTTATTGTGTCTCCTGCTAAATAACAGCTAAATGAGAAAATAAGACTTTGAAGAAATCAAAGAGAGTGCAATTATAACACTAGAAGGCATGAAGATAAACGATAAAAAATTGATCTTACAAACAAAATATAGGGTCTTAAGGCTAGTTCCTCATTGAAATAGAGGGTGTATTGGACCATTGTCACAAGAAGCAAAAAAATTGACATTTCAACTAAAAAATTGGCAAGAAATTATGTAATTTTATTAGGTTCTTCTTAACAGGTATTTTTGTATTTTTAGTGTGATCATCCAACCAAAACTGTCATTGTCTTTTTATAGTAATAATATAAATTATCGCCCCCTGTCATATAATTTTCTGGGTCCGCCACTGCTTACGACTATCAGATAAAGTGTCAAATTTGAAATTTGATACTGGTATCAAAGGATTATATATATATAGGATAAAAACCAAATGGTGATAGCTCAGTTGTCGCATGAGAGCTATGGTGGTAGCTCAGTTGGCGCATGGGAGCTAAGCAGGTCGGATAAGAGCATGTGTTTGAATTTCCCCTGTACCACCTTTGGGACACCTTTGGGAGGGGTTTAAAGCCTTAGTCCTGGACCCGATCAAAGGATTATATATATATATATATATACACATATATATATAGGATAAAAATCAAATGGTAGTAACTCAGTTGGCGCATGGGAGCTAAGCAGGTTGGGGTAAAAGCATGTGTTCGAATCTCCTCCGTACCACCTTTGGTAGGGGTTTAAAGCTTTAATCCTGGACCCGCCCCGAATCGGGTTAGTTGCGAAGCAATGAACCGATTGAAATATTTCCAAAAATATATATAGGATAAAAAATAAATTTCCTACATACACAATAAACTAGTGGGTCCATCAGTTAATTTTTCTCTCTCCTCAATCCACTTTCTCTCTCCTTATTATTGTCTCTACCGGAAACTTTTGTTTTGTCCTTAAACATTATTGTTGTATTTCCTAATTACATATGATAAAAAGTATTTCTCTTGCAACAAAAGATAAAATTATTTCTTATAACTCTAAAATAACATTATTTTGGAGTTAAAAAAAAGAGTATTTTGAAAATTTTACTTTTCTTTTATATTATGAATTTTATTATAGAGAATAATATTTCTCATGTTGTAGGAGACAAAATTTATCACCTACACACATAAAATTGTGGGATCGATCCTTATTTTTTTCTCTCTTCTCCCCACATGACCTTTCATGAGCCTCACACATTTTATGTGTACGTAGAAGATAAAATTATCTCCTAAAAATATTATTCCTTCATTAAAACACTTTATATTGTTTTTTTAAGGGAAAAATATTTCTTCAGTCACCGGAGATAAAGTTATCTCCAGTGAGCTCAAAACGATGTCGTTTTGAAGTTATAAGATTAAAAAATTATAATGATAAAGACTAATATAGCCCTGTAATATATTATAATTACAAAAATACCTTGAATTTTGTCCTAAAACGATGTCGTTTTGGGCTCACCGGAAATAACTTATCTCCGTTGACCGGAGAAATCTTTTACCTTTATTTAAATCCAGAAACAATATCATTTTAGGATAAATATTAATCCCTTAAAAAAATAAGTAATTCACAAATTTCATACTAAACAATGTAAAACTTACCAATTTAGTAAATTTCTTAAAACAAATTTCCAAATTATTTTTTTCAAACGCTCATCCAAATGATACTGATATTATATTTATCTTTTCGATGTATAATTTAATTCCTTTACTTGATTTTTCGATGATTGAAATATTTATGTTATATGTAAAAGAAATCTCAAGTCATTTACTAATTTTTGTTTTCACAATTTTATGTTTTAACTTTTAACACATGTTTTCCATTAAAAAATAGTTTAGAAAAAGTCATAAGTAGTCACTGTGTCCAAAGCGGTGAAAATATCGAACTCCTCTTGTACTTGGGAATTCTCGTCCAGCTAGGAAGAAGAATCGGCAAGACCAATTTCAACCCATTAAATCATTTCATTTTGAAGACACAAAATGCCTTCTCTTGACCCTTCACATTAACCATCAAAACCCCATTTTTTCTATTTCTACCATTTTCCCTTTTCATGCTGCTTTCTGTGTTGTTCTGTTTTTGATTTCTCGCTTGATATAGGTACCATTCTCACCTTTTATTGGGTCTTGCTTTCTTCTCATTCTGACTTAGCTGCTTCAGCCAAGACCCTTTATGATGAAGTTCGCTTTTAGTTTGGTCTTAGTCAGTTTTGAACTTTTTATTGTTGTTAATATGTTCTTCCTGCTTCTTCGGTGTTTTCTTTTGCTGGGGGTTGGTTCTGTGTATGAACCAACTTGTGGGTAGTTTTTTATTTTGTTGCCTTCTTTTTCTCGATATATAGTAAACCTGCTGAAGTGAATTAACGATGTATGACTATAAGCTGCTCAAGTGAATTAGTTATGTGTGACTGCTATTCTCTTTGATTTTCTGATCTTTAGTTACAAAATTTTGTAAATTGTTCTAGATCTACATAATGACCCCACAAGCTTTTTGAGATTATGGGTTTTAGGAATATTCTTCTATAGGGTTAAACTTCATAGGTATTGCTTATGAAATCCTAGCCTCCTTTATTGTAATTGTGCACACACCACCCTATTGGCTTCAAGCCTGCTTTTTATGTACAGTGATTTGTCACCACCTGCATGTGTCTCCTCTATAGACACCGTTAGCTCACATATGTCATATTAATTACAATTCTCTTGGATTGAACATAAGTTATATACGATTCTCTTGCTTGTTAATCTCTGGAATAATTCATTTTTGTTAAGCTTAATTATTTTTTGGTTTCTAATTAGTGCTTTGTCTTTCAAATTCTAAGGATTCATGTGATCATGGATGTAAAAACAAAGAGGAGAACTGTTGTAGAGAATGGTGATGTGGGGGAGGATTTGGTTCTAGCTACTTTGATTGCGAATGGGGATGATGTTGGTCCTCTAGTAAGGCATGCCTTCGAAATGGGTAGGCCTGAGTGGTTCCTTCACCAGCTGAATTATGTTGTTAAGAAAAAGGAAGCTGAAATTGAGGAGACGTGCAAGACCCACTACGAGGAATTCATCCTTGCAGTTGATGAGCTTCGAGGCGTGTTAGTTGATGCTGAGGAGCTAAAGAGTGAGCTCCAAAGTGACAATTTTAAGTTGCAGCAGGTTGGGAGCGCCCTTCTTGTCAAGCTTGAAGAGCTTCTTGAATCTTATTCTATTAAGAAGAATTTGACTGAAGCTATAAAAATGTCAAAGAACTGTATACAGGTGTTAGAGCTTTGTGTCAAGTGTAACAGTCACATGTCTGAAGGCTATTTTTATCCTGCATTGAAAACTGTTGACTTAATTGAGAAAAACATGCAGAATATTCCTGCAGTGACTCTCAAAATGGTCATAGAGAGGAAAATTCCTGTAATAAAATTGCATATCGAGAAGAAAGTATGCAGTGAAGTTAATGAATGGATGGTCCACATAAGGAGGTCTGCTAAAAATATTGGACAAATGGCAATTGGTCGTACCGCGACAGCTCGTCAGAGGGATGAAGAAATGCTAGAACAGCAACGGAAGGCGGAGGAGCAAAATGTACCGGGAGTTGGGGATCTAGCTTATACTTTGGATGTTGAAGAAGTTGATGAGGATTCTGTATTCCAGTTTGATCTTACACCTCTTTATCGAGCTTGCCATATTCATGATTGTCTGGGTATCAGAGAGCGATTTCGTGAATATTACTATACTAATAGATTGTTACAATTGAATTCAGACCTGGAGATATCTTCAGCACAGCCTTTTGTTGAATCATATCAGACATTTTTTGCTCAAATTGCTGGATTCTTTATAGTGGAGGATAGAGTCCTGAGAACTGCTGGGGGCCTTGTGGTAGCTGATCAGGTTGAAACAATGTGGGAGACTGCTGTATCTAAAATGACATCAATGTTGGAGGAGCAGTTCTCTTCTATGGAGTCTGCCACTCATCTTCTCCTGGTGAAGGATTATGTCAGTCTTCTTGTGTCTACTCTTCGACAATATGGACATGAAATCGGTACACTTCTTGATGTGCTTGATAGCAGCTCTGACAAATACCACTTGCTTCTTTTGAAAGAATGTCGGCAACAAATCGTTGATGTTCTTGGCAATGACTCGTATGATCAAATGATGATAAAAAAGGAAACTGACTATGAGAATTGTGTTTTGTCTTTTAATCTTCAAACATCAGATGTTATGCCTGCTCTTCCATATGTTGCACCATTTTCCTCCATGGTACCTGATGCTTGTCGCATTGTGAGATCCTTTATCAAAGGCTCTGTTGATTACTTGTCTTATGGTGCACATACAAACTTCTTTGATGTTGTTAGGAAGTATTTGGACAAGTTCGTGATTGACATATTGAATGCAACATTACTTGATAAAATAAATAGTGGCAATATCAGTGTACCTCAAGCCATGCAGCTTGCTGCAAACACAGCTGTCCTTGAAAGAGCTTGTGATTTTTTCCTTCGACACGCGGCCCAACTATGCGGTATCCCTGTCCAATCAGTTGAAAGGCCTCAAGTTGCTTTAACTGCAAAGGCGGTCTTGAATACGTCAAGGGATGCAGCTTATATTACCCTACTGAATCTGGTAAACACAAAAATAGACGAGTTTATGACACTTACTGAAAGTGTTAATTGGATTTCTGAGGAGACAGATCAGAATGGAAATGACTACATACATGAAGTGATCATTTACCTTGATTCTGTTATGTCAACTGCGCAACAAATTTTACCCTTGGATGCTATGTACAAAATTGGGAGCAGTGCTTTTGAGTACATTTCCAATTCCATAGTGGCTGCTTTCTCTAGTGATAGTGTCAAAAGGTTTAACGCGAATGCAGTTATGAATATTGAATATGATCTTCAGATCATAGAGAATTTTGCAGACAAAAGGTTCTATTCTGCTGGTTTGGGTGAAATTTACAATGAGGGTGGTTTTAAGAGCTGCTTGGTAGAAGCACGGCAATTAATTAATCTTTTGCTGAGTAGTCAACCTGAGAACTTCATGAATCCTGATATAAGGGAGAAAAATTTCTATGCATTGGATTATAAGAAGGTGGCTGCAATCTGTGATAAGTTCAAGGATTCTCCTGATGGGATCTTTGGAAGCCTTGCTAATAAAAATTCAAAGCAAAGTGCAAGAAAGAAATCAATGGACGTGCTCAAAAAGCGACTCAAGGATTTCACTTGATAATACTTGGAAACATTCTTTCATTGGAAGTAGGGTATAGTTTAAGTATTCTTCTTCTATTTTTGATGTTTAACTTCAGAATGAATAGTGTTTCAATATTATTCTGACTTGTTTGGGCCTTAAATCTGTTATCTATTTATTCTGGTAATTTAGAGTTTGTTTGGATTCTCTCTTTTATAAGTTATAAGTTACTTATAAGCTAAAGCTAAAAAAAAAAGCTTAAAAAAAGCTAAAAACCACTACAAAAAAACATGTATTTACTGGCGGGCATTTATTGGCAGTCAAAATACACCCCCAAAATAATTCAAATTTAGCATTTTAGTGACCGCCAGTCCGCCACAGTTTAAATTTTGTTCTCGCGACTCAAGTAATTGAATGGCGGCCTAACACGCTGCAATATTTTATGTAACATTTACTACTAATTGTTATTCTTATTCATTTTGGATTTTTGCACAGCCACAAATTTTCCTTATATTAATTTTTTAATTTCATCTTTATTTTATTTTTAGTGTGTTTAAATCTTCCCAAAAAAATTCACACCTCGCTCATCGTTTCCCATGAGATTTCACTCCGATGATTCTCTGGCGACGTTGTCGTTGCCGAGATTGATGCTTTTATTCGTCGTCCGTGCCAAGGAGATACCCCTAACATTCGTCTTTGAACTGCAATATTTGCCGCCTAATTCTGTAAGCTTGAGTCGCAGGTTTCTGAATTGCAACCCTCCCTCCACCATCGTCTTTGCAAGCTCTTGGAATTGCAATCGGTGTGAGTCTTGGGCAATCGCAGGTTTCAAAATATATTGAATCATATCTCTGGTTACTTGGTGTTTTGATATGATTACTTTGGTTTTGTAGGTTGAAAAGAATAAAAAGATAGCGGTTGAGGATGGAGGTGGGAGAGTTGCTTTAATTGAAGAGCTAGTTGATTGAGTTGAACGATTGAACTTAGCGAGAAGAATGCAAACAAATATATAGAGCTATCTCGATAAGATTGTGAGTCCCTTAATTTGCTGTTAGGAATTACTTTGGTTTTGTATTTGGTTTTGTATTTGGTTTGGTAGCTCTTATAACATTATCTTGACAAGATTGTAAAGTTATCTCGAATTTGTGATGTTTATCCAAGATTCCTAATTGATTCTCTTTGTACTACCTGTTTCTATGTTTAACCTTGTCCAAAATTTTCTAAGATGCTCAATAGCGAATTGTTAATTTAAATTTGAGATTCCATGGTTTTGTAGTTTTTCTTTTCTGCATGTATAATTTGGAAATTTTAGCCGTCTATACTAGCAAACTTGTTCTACAAATTGGAGAGAAAGATAGTTTTGTAGTTTATATGTTGTTTTCTTTCTACCTTGGTACAGCACCTTTTGTCTGTGAGCAAGGAAAAAATATCGGCCTGCAGTTATTTTATTTATTTTTAATCAATCTTTGATTCTGGCATGTAGTTACATGTTGCTGTACTCAATACAAACAGCATAATAATTGCAATTTTACAAACAGAAGATAACTAAAGTCTTTATTGTTTATGTCACTTTATTTGCCTTTTCGCAATTTCTCAATAATGTTTTGCTGTGTTCAGTAATTTTTTTTTTTTAACAGTTCAATAGTTTCTAATGTTAATTGATTACTCTTTTTGATATGATGCAGAAATAAAGGACAAAGTGCTTAAGAACAATGAAAACTTTGTTTGGGCAATTGAGGTTCCACTTACTGGAAAATTCATTACTGATGTTGAGTTCCTTGATTTGAAGACTGCATCCCCAAACGTTAGTACAAAATACCTATCTCTTTATAGTTGTATTCATTGCAAATGATAATTATGTTGAGACAATTAGAATGTGACGTCTAGCTAAAAATAATTCAGGGTATATTGAAAAGAAGTTTTTGTATATTGATATTGAATAAATTACATGAGTGAGTATTTATACAAGAAAGAATCGCTAAGAATGACTAAGCGATAACTAATCAATCCTATTACAATCCTAATCACAATCAATTCTAATCAATCACAATTAATCCTAATCAATCATAATCAATCCTAATCAATCATGATCAATCCTAATTAATAGGAAATAAAAACGGAAACATGTTTGAATTCTAATTTTCTACACTCCCCCTCAAGTTGGGAGGTAAATATTGATCATTCCCAACTTGCCAATCAAGTCTTCGAATGCTGGACGGTGTAGGCCCTTGGTAAGGACATCTGCCGTTTGCTCTTTGGTTGGAACATATATCAAATGCACACTTCCATCATCTAATTTTTCTTTGATGAAGTGACGATCAACTTCCACGTGCTTTGTTCGATCATGATGCACAGGATTTTGAGCAATGCTAACAGCTGCCTTGTTGTCACAATATAGTTTTATTGGTAGGGAATATGAAATCTTCAACTCTTGAAGAAGTCTTCTTAACCAGATTCCTTCACAAACTCCATGAGCTAAAGCTCGAAATTCTGCTTCAGCACTACTTCTTGCAACCACTGTTTGCTTTTTGCTTCTCCAAGTAACAAGATTTCCCCACACATAGGTGCAATAGCCTGAGGTAGATCTTCTGTCTACTGATGAGCCTGCCCAATCTGCATCAGTGTAGATTTCAATTGTCCTTTTATACCCCTTTTTAAAGAATAATCCTCTTCCTGGAGTATTCTTGAGGTATCTAAGCACCCTATAGACTGCACTAAGATGCTTCTCCTTGGGTGAGTGCATGAATTGACTAATCATACTCACCGCAAAGGCAATGTCAGGACGCGTATGAGATAAGTAGATTAGTTTACCAACCAATCGCTGATATTGTTCTTTATCCACCTCATTCCCATCTTCAATACCTGACTTGGTATTAGGTTCCACAGGTGTCTCAGCAGGTTTACACCCTAACATTCCTGTTTCCAACAAAAGATCTAGAACATATTTCTTTTGTGTTAGAGTGATGCCTGTTTTGCTCCTAGCAACTTCCATACCAAGGAAATATTTGAGAGTGCCAAGGTCTTTGAGTTCAAATTGAGCTGCTAGAAATTTCTTCAAGGTGTTCAATTCCTCAATATCATCACCTGTAAGAATTATATCATCTACATATACAATAAGAATAGCAATTTTACCATCCTTAGAGTGTTTGTGGAAGAGAGTATGATCAGTCTGTGCTTGAATGAAGCCTCTTCTTTTGACTGCTTGTGTGAATTTGTCGAACCATTCTCTGGGAGACTGTTCCAATCCATATAGAGACTTTTTTAGTTTACACACTGATTCATTTCCCCTTTCAAAACCAGGTGGAGGATCCATATAGACTTCTTCATGTAAGTCACCATTTAGGAATGCATTCTTCACATCTAACTGTTGCAGAGGCCAATCTAGATTGGCAGCAAGAGATAAGAGAACTCGGATGGTATTGACTTTAGCAACCGGAGCAAAAGTCTCATGATAATCTATCCCATGAGTCTGAGTGAAACCCTTTGCAACCAATCTTGCCTTGTATCTGTTGATGCTATTATCTGCATTGAATTTTATTGTAAACACCCATTTGCATCCTACTGCCTTTTTTCCTTTGGGTAGGGTCACTATCTCCCAAGTTCCATTTCTTTCTAAAGCATTCATTTCTTCAAAGACAGCATCCCTCCATTTTTTATCATTGAGAGCCTCATGTATATTTCTCGGTATCTTTGTACTATCCAACATAGTATTGAAAGCACGAAACCCTGGGGACAACTTTCCATATGAAATATGATTAGAAATAGGATGAGTAGTACAAGATCGAGTACCTTTTCTGAGAGCAATGGGCAAGTGTAGATCATTTTCACCATGACACTTAAGTATTGGGGTGCTGGAACTAGAACATGGTTCAGAATCCTGGCAGTGTAGAGGCTCTGGGTTATTCACACTTTGAGGAGGCTTTCGCCTGCTATAAACTTGTCCCCATTTTGAGGAGGCTCCTGATGGTGAGGATTCTGTAGCTCCCCCTGTTTCCAAAAGTAGAGGTAATACTGTGGCATTAATAGGTTCCCATGACTGATCTTCATCTACTCCTATAGACTCCCCCTGAAGAGAAGTCGAGGGGAAGAAAGGGTCATTCTCAGAAAAAGTGACATCCATAGAGACAAAGACCTTACGAAGAGAGGGTGAATAACACTTATAGCCACGTTGAGTAGGAGAATAACCAATAAAGACACACTGGAGAGACTTAGGATCAAGCTTAGACCGTTGATGGGAGGGAATATGGACAAATACAACACAACCAAATAACTTGAGAGGTAAGGAGGAGACACCTCGGAAGGAAGGGAAGATACGAACAAGACTAGAAAGAGGAGACTGAAATTTCAGAATGCGAGATGGCATTCGATTTATCAGATACGAGGCAGTGAGAACTGCCTCTCCCCAAAGATATTTAGGAACACTCGTGGTAAACATAAGAGCCCGAGCAACTTCAAGGAGATGTCGGTTTTTTCTTTCCGCAACTCCGTTTTGTTGGGGTGTGTCAGGACACGAGCTTTGGTGAAGGATGCCATGTTGGGAAAGATATTCTCCAAGAATAGAGTTAAAATACTCTTTGCCATTATCTGTACGAAGAATTTGTATAGCAACTTGGAATTGGGTTTGAACCATGGCATGAAATTTTTTAAACACGGATGCAGCATCGGACTTATCCTTTAGAAGATACACCCAACAAACTCGAGAATGGTCATCAATGAAGGTAATGAACCATCGAGTACCTGAAATATTTTTAACACGGGCTGGACCCCATATGTCGCTATGAATTAAGGAAAATGGGGAAGAGTCATGGTGAACTTTAGAAGGATAATGAGCACGAGTATGCTTGGCAAGTTGACAAATATCACAAGAAAACAAACTTGGACTTTTATTAATAAATAAGTTTGGCAACAACTTCTGAAGATAAATAAAATTTGGATGGCCTAGCCTACGATGCCACAACATAACATCATTACATGAATCAAAAGGAAACATAGAGTTTTTTTCTACGAAAACAGCTTCATGAGTCACATCCTCCTCAAAGTAGTAAAGTCCACCATCCTCTCTAGCACTGCCAATCATCCTCTCCGAGTCCTGTTCCTGAAAAACACAACCATGTGGAAAGAATTTAGCAAAGCAATGCAACTCAGAGGTGAGCTTGCTAATGGAAATGAGATTACAAGTCAGAGAAGGAACATAAAGAACTGATGTCAAAGTAATCAGCTCAGAAAGTTTAATGGTTCCGTGTCCCGCAATCTGGGAAAAACTGCCATCGGCGATCTTGACCCGAGAAGGTTCAGAATATGGAGTGTATGAACAAAACAAGCCAAGATTACCTGTCATATGATCAGAGGCTCCAGAATCAAGGATCCAATGATTTTGACTATCAACATGGAAAGTTGTACCTTGCTGGACCACATGACTAGTGGCCTTAGGAGGTTGCTCGTGGTAATAAAAAGAGTGTTTTGAGGAAGCCATGAATAAAAAGAGAAGGGTTGACCGTTGATGAAAAATCAAGTTTTGTAAACTTTTGATCTGACCTCTGGAACAGGAAGGGGAGAAGCCGGCGAGAAGGTCTGTGCAAGTCGCGACGGAAAAAAAACGTCTGGAAGGCGGCGCGTGGTGGCGCGTGCAGCGGCTGACGGCGATGGGTCCAGCGGCGGTCGACTCGTCGGATCCTTCTGAGTCGAATGGTCACCTCACTTTTTTGATCGGAGGTCAGTAAACTAGGTTTCTGTGTTGGACAGATTCAAGGTGGTGTTTAGGAGGTGTTTGACGGTGATGGAAGTGTTTGGATGGTTATTTCAGATTTGAATTAGGGTAGGAACGAACCCGCTCTGATACCATATTGAAAGTAGTTTTTGTATATTGATATTGAATAAATTACATGAGTGAGTATTTATACAAGAAAGAATCGCTAAGAATGACTAAGCGATAACTAATCAATCCTATCACAATCCTAATCACAATCAATTCTAATCAATCACAATTAATCCTAATCAATCATAATCAATCCTAATCAATCATAATCAATTCTAATTAATAGGAAATAAAAACGGAAACATGTTTGAATTCTAATTTTCTACAGGGTACTAATTGGATTTTGTAATCCACTGTTATAATCATAAGCACTTTAGTAATCCCTTTGTAACTTTGTTCAGTCTTGATGGATAATTACCAATGATGACTAGTGATAATAGATTAGTACACCAAGCAGTTCTGATTTTATTATAATCTGACAGGAAATATCCAATTTATGGTTGAATTGGAACTTATTTAGAATTAGAAAAATTGAAACTCTTTTGGGAGAACAATTATTAAGAATTAGATTTTGTTTTAGAATGCAGGAGTGATATTTTAAAAGCTTTGGTTCTCTATTGAATAGGAAGAGAGGCAAAACCAAAGTTAGAGCTTAGTAAAACATGTTCTTAAATACTTATATTACTCTTAAATGACGTATGGTTATTCTTAAAACTTACGTCCCATGAGACTTTTGAGATTTGATGGCATATTTCATTTTGCATTGAAGATGAAATTTAGTTATTATGGTTTATGAGAAGCTGCTTTCTTCATTCTAGATGTTATGTTTGGAGTTATTGTGAGAGTTTTAATGAAAGCTGAAGGTGTTTCCTTTTAACATCTTTATCACACTACTAAAAGTAGTCACTTTGAGGCCTATCGGGATATTCCAAAGATCATAGAATTGAGGGAGAGGTTTAAAAATATCAAGCAAATACTCAAGTCACATGTGTTTTCTAATTTTTCTAGGTATACTGTTACTGATTAATTTCCATATTCTGCTATTTTTCGAAATCTCTCTAGGCACTACAATATTAATTGGATATACAATTTTAACTTAGGTTGCTCATTTGCATTTTTTCCGTATATTTTGTTTTGTGATATGTACTTAACCTTACTAGATATGGAAGTGGTTTTGTCCCAAGGAGCCTGTGTAACTGGATAATGCAGTGTGGGTTATGTACATGGCGCTTCCAATTATAAAGAAGAAGAATCTCTATGCAAATCCCAATTATTGGTTGGATATGAAAAAGATGAATGAGATATACAGGTATAAAGCAGAAGAGTACTCCTTGGAAGCCACAAATAAGTTCAACATCTATCCAGAACAAATTCCAATATGGCTAATGGATTGGATTCCAGAAGGAGGTGGATTTCGGAATCTTCAGCCAGCTCACATGGATTTCAGGTTTTTCATGCTTGGAAATCTTTGGTCTGTTGTTTCGTCTTTGGATACCCCAAGACAGAATAAGGCTATTTTGAATCTGATAGAAGCAAAATGGGATGATCTTATGGGGCACATGCCTCTTAAGATATGTTATCCTGCCTTGGAGAATGAATAATGGCGCATAATTACTGGCAGCGACCCAAAGAATACGTAAAAATTCTTTATGTGGTTTTTCTTGCAGTTGTTTGCATGTCTGTGAGTTCTTGTTTTTTTTTTTTATTTAGACATAAGAAAATGCTTTGAAGAATTTTCAATATTTGTATTCATAATTTTGCTTCTATGGTGTTCATCATAAACTTTATTATTGATCTTGTTGTGAAAGACTCATCTTCACAACTAAACTTTGCTTTAATATCTAATGTGTTTGCTCATGCATGATCTTTAGTTCACGTTGGCATGCATCAAAATTGAGAGAAATGAACTAGCTCAGAAAGCAGTTGCTTTGGCTGAGAAAAGGCTACTAGTTGATCCTTGGCTTGAATATTATGACACCTGAACGGGAATATTTATTGGAAAACAAGCCAGGCGTTATCAAACATGGACATTAGCTGGGTTCCTTACTTCTAAGATCCTTTTGAAGAATCCTGAAAAAACAACCTTCTTGTGCTGGTATGATGATTTTGAGATTCTTGAGACATGTATTTGTGTCTTTAGTAAGAGTGGCAGGGCAAAATGCTCCTGTGATGCTGCAAAGTCTCATGTTCTCGTCTGATGAGGCACTGCTGTATAGTTAAAAAGTTTAGTGTATTGTATGAGTTCTATAGGATAAGTAAAAATTACATTGGAAAAACAGTATCTTCCACATTTCTTTACTTTGACAAATAAGGCTTTCTTTATAGGGGAAAGGGGGATTCTTACTCATCAGTTTATAAATTTGCAAATATGTAAATTTGTAAATTTTAGGACTTGATTCCTTACTTATTCTTGTTAGTTATCTATCTTATACTTTGTATTTGGATGAGACAGATCAATTAAGACAATTAACTTCAACTCATCAAATGTGCAGCTTTATTGTGATTTACCATTATCACTAGTACTAAAAATAAAATTGGCTAACAAATCAAGTGATTAGATAGGCCCAATCCCGAGATTATGATATATAAAACTTTCCACTCATATATAGACAATTTGAAGTTGCTATGAAATAAGACACTAGTGGGGGTATAGAAATGTCAAATATGCTAAATAGATTGTGGAGGTTAGAGAATGCCATAAATTGAAATATTTTGTTTAACCTACAAAATATCAAAATGTCAAAAATTGCAACATTTGTGGGGGTCTCGAATCTCCAAAAAATACTCCAACAAATTGTGGCGTTGTACAAAAATATGCCACAAAGTATGTTGTGGCAAAGGCAAAATTGGGGGTTGATGTGAATGTCACAAATGTCTTTTGTGGGGATCAAAGACCCCCACAATATGAAAATATGACCCCCACAAAATGCCTGAATTTTTGTAGTGAACTGTTTGATAATTACATAAATTTTTTAACTTAAAAGCACATATTTCAAAAAAAAAAAACTATTTCTCTCTTTCTATTTTTATAACTCTTCATTTTAAAAAAAAGCACAAAATTCAAGAAAAATAGATAAGAGCTTGAGAAAAAACTCCTCCTAGGAGCTTTTAGCTTTTTTCTTCATTATTAAAAAAAGAACTTTTCCTTATAAGAGTTTTTTTCAAAATCCGTTTGGCTTAAGTTTTGCTTATAAGTAGCTTTTAATTTAAAAAAGAAAGGATCCAAATATGCACTTAGTCTTGGAGCAGGTAAGGTTGTTCCTTATAAGCGGAAGGTCATGGGTTCGAGACAGGAAAATAGCCTCTTTATTAAAATGAAAGGGTAAGTAAGGTTGCGTACAATCATGTGCTGTTATTTTAAGAAAAAGATAAGGTATATATAATATTTAAAAAGTGATGGGACACTTTATTCAATGAATTGGTTGTCTTTTTCTTAACATGATAAAATATTTGGTTCCTATGACATGATGGATGTATTTCCCATATTTCTATAGACACAAGTAAATGCACAGGCATCTTCTGTCGGTTCCGGGGAAGTCCATAGTAGGGGACTATCGTTAATGAGTTAATTAAATATATAAAGTTGGTGCCCTCTCCCAACCCATCTCCAGTGTTAGGCGGGTCTAGGGAGAAACCCGTGGCGGGAGACACCATCGATGAGCTAAGGCTACACCATCATATTATTTAAAAACAATAAAACTAACACAAAAATCTCTATATATCTAACATAGATGTAAATATCTGCATACAAATGAAAAGGAACAAAAATATCAGACTTTGTCATAGTTGTGCCATGCTTAGATTCCACTGAAATGACAGTTTCTCGTAATACATGGGAATTTTGTTGAAAGTTGCCAATTAACTAACTGCCTTTATTTGAACAAGTGAACAGAGGTCCTAACAAACCATGTACGGAGTAAGAATTAGAACTGTTGGGTTGACTTTCATACTTGTCCATGCGAATTTTCCTATTCATCATATATTAATCTACTTTTGTGCTAATTTAGCATCTGAACACTTGTCATGTTTGTACAATATATGGGAGGCATTGTCTAGAGTAACTGCAAGTAATGTTTGTTCAGGAACATAAAGTAAATGAATTGTTTTGATATTCAAGACATCAGAGGGGCAAAATCAGCAAGCAAAAAGTGTTAAATTTTGGGATAGCAGGATTGAGTTCATAGATAATTTCAAAGTCCAAAAAAATAAAGTTCAATCTAATTTTTATATGCCTTAGTACAACAGATCTGATAACCTCAACTGAAAAGTAATTCCACCCCCAGTTGCTGCTATCATAAGAATCAAAAACCCAACTATAATGAAAGAAAATAGATACCTCTATAAGTAATTCCCATTTTATTGATACACTTCTCATAGGTATTTCTTCCCTTTCTCCTTCATTCTTCTCTAGATAGGAAAATATTCTTGTCAAGTCCCTATTCATATATTAATTTTGTTCAATCCTTTTAAAGGTAAAGTTTAGCTGATCACTAAAACACACATTCTTGAAATAACTACAACCAAATAAACCATAGCCTTTGGAAAAGCTCCTATTAATTATGCGGCAATAACCTCAAGGAAAATATCAGCAACATTAACACCTAAGACAGCTCAGATGATGAAACCAAAATATGCTTGTGTTCTTAACTCTTCCTCTTTTGTAAAAATACCATAGGAAACATACAGCCAAATCAAAATCCAGCTCCACTATAATAGTCCATCTTAATTAATTAGTAAATCAAGTGTAATTAATTAATTAAACATGTTTTAGTGAGTAAAATTAAGTATAATGCTTAATTAAATGAATCTGAGTCACTTTGGAGTTAAAAAGTGTACTCAGTGAAAGTTGAGGGGTATAAATGGGTACTGGTGAAAGTGCCCAAAATATAAAAATAAAAATAGTAATATTCCTAGAATAATATTCCAGAATTTTGGGTAAAGTTTGATAATTATTGGAGTTGAATAGATAGACGAACCAATACCCGCTTAAAGCCACTTAACCAATGTTAAGTGACTAAAAGCCAAAAGAGCCCCATTTCCCACCCCATTTCGTCGACGCCAGAAGAGGAGAAAAGAAGAAGAAGAAGAAGGAGAAAAGAGGGAGAAGGAAGGGAGGAAGAGAGAGAGAGATCAAACCTTGACCGTTTTGGGTGATTCAAAAGCCTAAATCGCTTAGAATCTCGCCCCCTTTCATAATCCAAGCTTAGTTTTAAGTGGGGAGCTTTGTGTGGTGAGATATTGGCTCTCAAAAATTCGGCCCTTTGGTGAAAATTGGGGTTTTGAGAGTTTCTACCTCCATGGGAGCTTGAGGAGCACTCACATCATTGTTGTGCAACCATTGGTGGTAAGATTCTCACCCTTGAGCCTCATGATTCCTTGAAATTTGCATGAGTTAGGGTTTGTGAATAGTAAATTGGGATTTTTATGAAATGTAGTTGAATTAGCTATGTTCTAGGAAGAATGGAGTTTAGAGCATGTTGTGAAAAATGCTAGGAACGACATTTAATCGGTGGAAATGAGCCTAGATAGTCATTTGATAATTGTTCATAATATTGGAAAATTCATGCTTGGATTGGTTAGTATTCTAGCATGTTGAACAATTAGTGAGTGGAATGATTGATTGGATCCTTGTGATGTCTAGGATTGAGACATTTGGACCAACCGTGAGTGATCAACCATTGGAGCAAGCTATGGAGCTTGAATAGCTCATTGGAATTGGTAAGCTCGTACTTGTGTTGTGTTTTGAATTGAGTAATTGATGGTTGATTGTGAAATACTCTTGGATGCAATGTGTTGATTGCATTACACCATGTGTATGTGTTGGTTTTGGAGTAGAGTATTGTTGACATTGGTGAAGAACAAAGGTCGACTAAAGCATTGAGGTAAGCCTTCGGACCTTGGGTGTAATTCCCTTGATTGTTCCACCAAGCCCTGAAAGGGTAGTGGTGATTATAGTGTATATAAATGCAATGAAATAGTGTAATGCTTTGTTATACGTATGTGTATGCATTTGGTGTGGCATAGGATGGTGTTTCCCTATGTGGTATGTTGCATGACGATGCGTAAATCATACTTGGTAGTTAGCTGGCCAGTAGGACTATTTGCATCTGAGTTTCCTTAGGACAGCTTGAGAGCTCGAGGGATTTCTCCTGGAGATGTATTGCACTTTGCATAGATATGTATTTACTGCATTATTATTGTTATTGCTATTACACTGATATGGAACTGTGGGGTGGAGAGATGCTCCAAGGACCCCTGGTTTACTGGATATATTCCTATATCTCACCC